TCATCATCGTCATCATCCGAATCATCATCGCCTTCCATTTCATCCGAATAATCTTCGTCAAATCCCTCACCGTCATCATCAACAACATCATACGAATCATCGTCATCATCCGAATTATCATCGTAATCGGAATCAACGTCGTCACGTTCGTCATCATCATGAAGATTATCATCATCTTCTACATCATCACCATCATCATCGGCATCGCAACCATCAACTTCGTAATCATCGTCATCATCGTCTTCGTCAACATCCGAAACATCACCGTCGCTTTCAACATAACAAACCGAATCATCATCATCCGCATCATCATTTTTATCATCATCATCATCATCAGCAACATCATCATCATCATCATTGTCCGGATCATCATCATGATCATCATCATCGTCATCATTGTCGTCATTGTCGTCATCATCATCATCATTAACCGAATGATCATAAATACAATCACCATCATCATCCTCATCATCGTCATCATCATTGTCATTAACATCATCATCGTGATCACCATCGCCATCATCGTCGTCATCATCACCATCATCATCACCATCAGCATAAGAGTCATTATCATCATAATCATCGTACTCGTCAACATCAACGTCATCATCATCATCATGATCGTCATTACCATCATCGTCACCATCGTCATCATAATCATCATCAACATTTTTATCATCAACATCAGCGACAACAGCATCAGCATCATCATCGGAATCATCGCAATCCGAATAAACATCATCATCCTCATTATCATCATCATCATCATCCGCATCATCATCATCATCATCATCACCATCATCACCATCAACATCATCATCAAGATCATCATCATCATCATCATCCGATTGATCATGATTATCACCATCATCAGCAGCAGCATCATCCGTTGATCATCCTGCGAAATATTTTCATCATTTTCAACATCCGCATCATCATCATCGTGATCCTAATCATTTTCTTCATTGTCGTCATCATCTNCGGAATCATCGCAATCCGAATAATTATCATCATCCTCATTATCATCATCATCATCCGCATCATCATCATCATCATCATCACCATCATCATCATCAACATCATCATCAACATCATCATCATCATCATCATCCGATTGATCATGATTATCATCAGCAGCAGCAGCAGCATCATCCGTTGATCATCATGCGAAATATTTTCATCATTGTCAACATCCGGATCATCATCATCATCGTGATCCTAATCATTTTCTTCATTGTCGTCATCATCTTCATCATCATCATCCGAATGATCATAATTCCAATCATCATCATCATCCGATTCGTCACGATCATGATCATCATCATGATCATCCGATCATCATCTTCCGAAGAATCATCATCACAATCATCATCATCATCATCATCATCATCATCATTATCGGCATCATCGTCATCATCAAAATCAACATCCTCCGAATCACCATGATAATCAGCATCCTCGTAATCATCATCATCAACAACATACGAATCATCGTCATCATCATCTTCATCATTATCATCATCATCGTTCCCATCATCATCCTCACGATTTCCGTCATCATCAACGTCATCATGATCCTCATCGTCATCAACATCATCAATATCATCAGCATCATCATCACCCGAATCATCCTAATCAACATCGTCACCTCACGATTTCCGTCATCATCAACGTCATCATGATCCTCATCGTCATCAACATCATCAATATCATCAGCATCATCATCACCCGAATCATCCTAATCAACATCGTCATCATCATCATTATCATCGTCATCATCATCTTCCGAGAAGTCCTAAAAACATCATCATCATCATCCAAATCCTCTTCATCACCATCATGGTCATCATCAACGTAATCTTCATCAAAACCCTTATCACCAACAACAGCATCATCGTCATCATCATCATCCCCATCATCATCATTATCATCATCATCATCATCAACATCATTATCATCATCATCATCATCATCATCATCATCATCATCATCGTCATCATTATCGTCATTGTCGTCATCATCATCATCATTTTCCGAATGATCATAAATACAATCATCTTCATCATCCGATTCATCACCATCATGATCATCATCATGGTCATTCGATCATCATCATCCGCATCATCGTCACCACGAACATCATCATCAACATCATCAATATCGTCATCATCATCAACATCATCTTCATCCGAATCGTGATTGTATTCATCATCATCGTAATTGTCATCATCAACATCATACAAAGCATCGTCATCATCATCCTCATCATTATCATCATCATTTGCATCATCATCGTCAGCATTATCATCATCATCAGTCTGATCATGATCCTCGTCATCTTCATCATCATCATCATCATCTTCATCATCATCATCATTCGAATCATCATCATCATCATCATCATCACCGTCAACATCATCCTCAACAACATCACCATCATCTGCACCATCATCTTCATCATCACCATAATCTTCCGAATCATCATTATCTTCACCATCCGAATCATCAGCATCTTCATCACCGTCATCATCGTCGTCATCCAAGTCTTGCTTATGACCCTCTTCGTCATCATAATCATGATAATTCGAATCCTCATCATCATGAGTTTGATCATAACCACCATCAGCATAATGGTCTTCATCATCTTTATCACCATCATCATCATGATGATCGGAACAATAATCATCATCTTCATCATCCTCATCAGCAACCGAGTATTCATCATCATCTTAAACATCAAAATAATTATCAAAATCGGCATCCGAATAATCATCATCATATTCATCGTCCTCATTATCATCATCCTCATCATTATCGTGATCATGGTCTTCATCATCGTCATCTTCATCAGCATCCACATCGTCATCTATATCCGCGTCATCACCTTCATCCGACTCTCCCCCATCGTCATCATCATCATCATCATCATCATACGAATCATCATCATCATCATCAACGAAAACACCTTCATCATCTTTATCACCATCATCATCATCACGATCCGAAAAATCGTAATCATCCTCATCAGCATCATCATCATTGTCATCATCATCATCCGAGGCATCATCATCATCACCGTCATCAAAATATTTATCAACATCGTCATCCGAATCATCACCATCATCACCATCACCATCATCATCATCAGAACAATCATCATCATATTCATCGTCCTCATTATCATCTTCATCATCCGAAGGATTGTGATGATAATAGTCGTCGTCTTCATCATTTATATCATAATCATTATCATCCGAGTCATCAGCGTCATCCGAATCATCATTCGAATAAACATTACCAGCATCATCAGCATCATCATCATCGTCATCATCACCATCATCACCTTCCTCCCAGACATCATCATCATCAATACCATCGACATCAACATCGTCACCATTAGTGAAATCGTCATCGGCATCCGAATCAACCTCACCATCATCATCTCCCGAATCATCATCATCATCATCATAATCATCATCATCTTCGTCAGCGTTACCAGCATCATCATCATCATCATCCCCATCGTCATCATCATCATCAACATCATCATCATCATCATCATCATCATCATCAGCATCGTCATAATAATCATCATCATCATCATCACCGTAATCGTCATCGGCAACAGAATCATCCTCACCATCATCATCATCCGAATCATGCTCATCGTCCGTATCATCATCCGTATTCTCATAATCATCATTATCGTCATCAACGTTATCATCACCATCATCCTTATCA